AGGAGGAGGAGGAGGAGGAATAGAGAGCATTGTCGTTGTTGTTGTTTCGACCGTGAGTTTGTCGTCTACGATCACGGTCAACCTGCGGACGACGTGGTTCCCCAGCGATCTTTAGGGTACCTTCTTTAGCCCCTCCGCTTGCGGGCAAGCAGTTCCACCCTAAATAGGGCTGCTTGATAGTGCTAGGCCCGGACGAACTCCACTATGGTCCATGACTTTTGGGGCAGTGGAAGAACGACTCGAAGTAGCCTAAAGCTTACGACATTGCCGTGACCTGGTAGCCTCCTGCGGTTCACCAAACGGAGCCTCGTCTCGACGATGCCAATGCGAAGTTCCATCTGACCAACCGCCCAGCGGAGTCCACGATACCGTGTGCGCGGGGCAGGCACTCACAGATACCCTCACCTTGTTTAGCCCGCCGGTCGAGGCTTTTACCGGTGTGTGACCGCTAAGCAGAGCCCATCTTCGGGAAGCCACGGATGACTGTCGGATATTGTGTAGTCGACAAGATAAAGATTCCCAATCAAAAGTCAGGGAAGACGGGTTAGCAAAAGTAGGAGATCCGGGTCGGTACATACTCCTACATACGGTTTGGCAAAATGGATGTTTGCTCGTCTTAAGTTCCTAGCAGAAGGATCGCCAACAACAGTCGTCTCTGCTAATCAGTTCCTTGAACGTTTAAAACATCTGAAACTAGAGCCAGATGAATCCATGGTATCGTTTGACGTCGTTTCACTCTTTACCTCCATTCCACAACAACTAGCGATTGACGTTGTGAGACAACTCCTGGCTGACCGCTACAACGAGAGAGACAATTACCTGAAGACGGAACATCTCGTGGAGCTCTTACGCTATTGCCTAAAAACATATTTCACCTTTGGTGGACAAATGTATGAACAAATCAAAGGCACCCCTATGGGCTCCCCCATATCAGGGCTGATTGCTGAAGTGGTTCTTCAACGGATAGAACACTTGGTTTTCACCAAGTATCAACCAAAGTTCTGGGCTCGTTACGTCGATGACACCTTCGCCATTGTCAAATCATCTGACGTGGAGCACCTTAAAGAATTACTGAACTCGGTTGACCAGAATATCCAATTCACGATGGAAGCCGAAACAAACAACCAACTTCCCTTCCTCGATGTCCTTGTGCGTCGGTGTGCAACTGGAGAATTACAAACTACCGTTTTCAGAAAAGCCACCAACACAAGACAAATACTGCACTTCAACAGCAATCACCCCCTCTCTCACAAACGCAGCTGTGTCCGTACTCTGTTCCAAAGAGTTGAAACACACTGCAGCACACCAGCCGACAAAAGAGTTGAACGACAATATCTTCATGATCTCTTTCAAACCAATGGATACCCAAGCCACTTCATCAAGCAAAGCAAGCGCCGAGTGAACAGACGACGGCCACAAGAAGAACAACCCGAAGTCTGGAGGGCTATTCCTTACATTAAAGGAGTCTCCGAAGCGGTTTCAAGACTGCTACAACCCGCCAGGGTAGGTATTGCCCATCGACCCCAGGCAACAATTCGTCGCCGTTTGATGCAACCCAAAGACATACTGCCACCCACTGAAACCTCAGCAGTTGTCTATCAAATACGTTGTAAGGATGGAGACTGCAACTACGTTGGGGAAACCGGACGGAAATTGCAGACCCGCCTACATGAGCACAAACTGGCAACACGGAGACTAGACCCAAACTCACAGCTTGCGGCTCACATCGGAGAAACTGGTCACAGTTTTGATTTTCAAGGAGCAGCCGTCATAGGCAGGGGCACCTCAAGGACTGAGCGTCTCACTCTTGAGGCTTGGTACTCAGATGCCAACTCCATCAACAGGCATCTAGACCTTCCTTCGGCCTATAAAGTCCTACGTCACTTCATACACCGTGACGAAGACAAGACAATCACACGGAGCCTAAGAATGCCGAGCAAACACGGCCTGTCGACCACTTCATCCAAAAGGGGAAAGCAAACGCAACCAACCCCAATTGAGGTGACGACACGTATTACAGGAGGCCACAAACATTCACAGGCGACGGCCAGTAGGCCGAGGCAGAGAAGGAAGAAAAAAATCGATCAGCCCAGAGCCAACTAATGCGGCAGTCTATTCAAAAATGCTGATCGATTTCTTCACTTGACGCTTTGACAATGGAGAGCAGCCCCAGCTCTTCGAAACGTCAGCCTGAAAAGTCCCCCGATCCGGTGAGCAATTCATTCTCCTCAGATCAGGGAAGACGGTTTGAGTTGGACAACCTTTTTTGCCTGAGGAAGTGCTCTGTAGGCAGTCGCCGCGAGCGCGCTCCAAGCAAGCTGCTGTCTGTGTCCGCCTTCAGGGTGTTCTCAGCGCGTGTGTGCGCCCTTCGTTGTCTCCACGTCGCCAACCAATCAGAGTGGGGACAGCGTTGATTGGCTTCGAGCACTCGCGCGTCCCAGCAGCGTATCGACACGGAGTGTGAGGCGGACAGGACGGCAGCGTGACAAAGGCGGAGGGCGAGGAGACGCGAACTGCCACATGACAGTTGGATGCCAGCAAATGGACGCTAGGCGTAGTCTGCACCTGCAAGCAGGTGAGCGACCTAATATGACCATCACGTGAACCCACCGCTGGACACCCCTACACCCCCAGGCACGACCTAATAGCGTTAGTACAGGCCCTGACCTCACGAGCGCTCCCAGTCGCCTCATAGGGCAACTAAGGGTTCCGTATATAATAAACCCCTCATTTTGGTGCCTTCTGTCTTTTCCTACAACTCGGAATTTGGCCTGACGATTGTAGCGTTCTAAGTACTTACACAGTTTAGACGCTGCACATTCACGAATCTCACTTTAATGAGAATTCCACAATTACCACACTAAGGAAGAATTATTGCGGTCTGATTCTTAGTCCTGAGTAGGCCAACTTATCTCTTCAGTTGACAACCTTCAAAACCACAGCACATAGCGCGCTGTGATAGATTTAGGGCGCCAGATTTGCTGCAGTGAAAATGCGCTGATTTGTCATAAGGATGGATTTCTTCGCGTCATCAGCCTCGCTCACCTCCCTTCCCATTCACCACTCGGCTGGTATAACGATTGATGCGACTTAAGAGGCCCCATCTACGGTAGGCCACACGTGTGCAGGGTAGTAATAGAGGCTGCACACAGGTTCGGCGGAGTCCGATGAACGCGTGCTGTGAGCCAGTTGGGGCCCCCATTTTTTTTCCTACGCATCTATAGCGCCTACCAGTTGGCGGAAGGATATATCGGTATAGATATTGGGTGTACCTCAACCACCACAATAACCAGAGTCAAGGCTTGTTTTAGTAAGCATGAGAAAACGCCAGTAAAAGACGTGTATTGGCGTATATACCAGAGGGAGAATATGTCTCATGAACAAATAAAGAAACACATACACTCACCGCCGCTATTTCCCCGCCGGTGCAGACCTCGTTCCTCCGTGCTGATTTCCCTATTTGTACATCTAACGTCCCCATTAGATACTTGCATTGTTCTGACAAATTATCTTTTCCCTCCTTATGACAGCCCGGCTCTACGTGGTTAGTGCCTTGTCATGATTCTGGTTGCTGTGGTAAACAGGTGGACTACTAACTTTGGAGGCTACAGGACCACGATCAATAATCCGAAATTCTGCAGGCCACAACTCAGCGAGATCTGTACTGGTATTTCAAGAAAATTCTGAAGTGATTCCACGCATGTCAGTACAGTGTGTTTTTGGTGAACGAAATATTTGACATAAATAGATCCCAAAATCTGAAGAGTGGAACTGCATGGTAATTCAATTGACTGTCA